TAAACTGGCAAAATTGAGAGACTAGTTGCAAAAGAAGAATGTAGGAAATGGCAAGCAAGCTTCCTTTCAAGAAGGATGAAAGTGAGGTGCTCGAGTGCTGCTTATGAGAATTGTTTAGTGAACCGGATTTGGGAAAGAAATAATGACAAGACTAGCCAAAATTAGAAATTTCAGGAACCCAAGTAGAAGTAAGTAAGTAGGACAATGTAAAATAAAATAGAAGATCGAAAGCTCCAACATAACATGAGAAGATAATTTATGAAATTAATTTTTTTAGGACAGGATTTTTCAGATACATTAAAAGAAAACTTGTATAGAAAACAAATAGTGAGATTTCATTTTGAGACATGGAAAGTGAAAATAACTGAAAATAATTGATGCTAGTCTTTACTGTACTCTTTTTCTCTGCCCCACCCAAGTGGACCTTGAAAGTTAGTGATATATAATATTTGTGAGACCTGGATTTTAGCAGGAGCAGTTACATTTTGACAGCAGATAAGTTTATGCATTTTGTTATATATGCTGATGAAAGGGAGAGGATTTTTTGGTAGTTAAAAACTTGATGGGGGTTTATTAACTTTTCTCAGCAACTTAGCATAGCCTGCCTGGGCTTCCCATTTTCTGTTGGCCCTGGCTGCTTCACAGCAGTTGCTGTTTTCCTTTGATGTGCGGCTCAACAGGTGTTACATTCCACCCAGAAGTTCTGAAATTAAGTACAAGATGAAGTGACTTATGTCTAAACTTTGAATCATTTGGGGAATCAAAGGCATAATGGTATTTTTGAATCATTAGTTTTATGAACTTTGATTTTATGTAATTACTGTTTATAAACTTAGTGTGCTCAGAATCATTCTAAAATCAGTTACTATTCTATTGTGAATCAGAGTACAGCAGTATTGGATTCTAGCTGGGACTGTTCAATCTTTGCATGGTACTCAGTAAGTCATGCTTTTTATTTGTAGTAATTTTTCCATATATTCTTCTTAATGCTGCTGTGGGATGCCATTTCATAAAATATAACTGATCTACATTTGGATATTTAAACAAGATTTTCATAAAATGAAGTTCAAAAAAACTTCATTATGGCTGTGAATAATTTGGCATGGTTTCATTTGAAGTCAACTGTTGTGATACTTCAGGAATCAGGGAAGCAGTTTGCCTTAAAGAGAACTTTCAGTTTTAACCACTGCACTGTTGATCTTCATCTGAGTAGTTTGGAACAAAAATTCTTTGCCTGCTTTAGTCAATGCTCCTTGCTTTGCTTGTGCTTGCCTTTTCGAGGTTAAGGTCTCCATATACAACACCAGTTCTAGAATGTGGCTGTTCATTTGAAAGCATTTGCTCTTAAAATTACTATGTAAATGATCAGTGGGTTGGGTTTTTTTTTTATGCTTCTACTTCTCAGAACTTGGGAGTTCATTATATTTAACATTTAACCTGCTATGACCGTACATATAAAAGGCTGTTACTCTGTTTTCAAACTTTATTTGGGTGTTCAGTGTTAAACAGTTGTGCACAATATTCCTGCTTTCACTGCTAAGACTGCAATTTAGTAATTTTAGTAAAAGAGCATGAGTAAGAATGTATGGCTGTATCTATATACTGAGTATAAATACTTTATTTATTGTATTTAACTGTAAGTACATGATGTAAAACCTATTTCAAAGACCAGTCACAACAGAATTTAAAGCCAGAGATTGGAGGGAGGGAGATTAATGTGTTAGTGTCTATAAACAGGCACAGTTTAATTACAGGTTTTAGTATTTAGTATAATTACGTAGTGCTTTTCACTTTCATAGTTAAAATGTGAACTAATTTATCCTCATGACACCCCTCTAAAACATGTAAGTAATACTTATCCTGAGTTTACAAGTAGGGGAATGGGTCCTGGTACCAAACTGTGCTGCAGTGGTTAAATTCGTGGTTGTCCATGTTCCTCTCCACAGCCAAGCTGTCCATCTGCCAAAGCCCTGTGGTGCCTCTTTGGGGCCATGCTGCACCCCCAGTGAAGCCACTGCATTTGGGTCAGACATTCAGCTCTGCCTGGTGCTCAGCCTGAGCCTTCTGCCAGCTATGGCTAGGGCTTCATCTCAAACTCCTAAAGCAGCTTCCTTCCTCCTGCGGCTTGTTCGGAGAGTTTCTTGTCTGCTCACCCGGTCCTGTGTCTTCAGGAGAGAAGTGGCAGTGTAGAAATCCTGTCTGTTGCACAAGTGATCTGTGTTTTGGTTCAGAGGAAACGAGCTAGGACCACCTGACTTTAAATGAACATCGTGATCTTGAAAAGTGCCTGGTTGAGAGACACAGAGAGGGTCATGTCTTGACCACAACCCAAGAGTGACGTGGGCAGTGGAAGCTGAGGCTTCCCCAGCGGCACCACAAGGATGCCTGGCTGCTGCCATGGTGGGCCGGACTCGTGCCTGGTCAGACATGCTATCTTGCCATGTGAGTCCATGGCTGTGGCCCAAGGCTGACAGTGCTGTTGAAATACTAGTGAATTACAACTGTAGCTGGTGCCGGTTACAAGTATACAGAAATTCCTTTACACACTCCAGTTAAAAATTCTGATCATAGTGAGTATGGCCTGTATAAGATCTTGTAACTACTGTGCTGAACAGCATTGCAGAGCTTAGGCCCTTGGCTTGGTGTCTTCAGCTTTTACAGTCTTCTAGCCTACTGGCATGAAACACACTGGTGTAAATACACTGATGCTGAGCCCCTGAGGAAGGTATATTTGGGATTGTGCTGGGAGACAGGGCCGTGGTGAGGGCAGTGCTGCTGGCCCGGGGTAGCGGGCACTGTTGTCCCCGTAAAGGAATCCTGTTGTTAAAGAATCTGCAGTAGCTGTGTTGAAGTTTAACCCTGTAGCACAAACTGACCCATGAGCTTTTGATAAAATGTAAATAGTTACAGAAGGAATTTTTGGTTTGGAATTTTGTGTGGAGTGGGGTTTTTTTGGTTTTCCAAAAAAAATTTCCACCACCCACCCCCCAAATAGGGAAGCTTAGCTGAGGAACCTTGGGCTATTTTTAATTCAATTTAAAAGTTGCCATACCAAGATTATTTAAAGAGAAATCTGTTGAATTGAGGGATAAATAAGTGTATTTTGTGTATTGGTACTTTTATTAGTTCCTTTTCACAGGTCTTTCCCTGTGTGTGTTAGAGCAATGAAATATTTAAACTATTTGCAAGGTGATACTGCAAACCTGGGTCTGTGCAACAGCTGCACTGCTTGTTCTCTTGCGGCTTGATTTCTCTTTTATCTCATACTTTGCAACTGAAGAATTATCAGTATGTATTTCATGTAGCTTGCTGAATTGAAAGCCCCTTAAAACTAACATTGCAGATGAATGCACTCACAGAAGAAGAGGTTTTTCATTCCTTATTTTTGCACTCTCTTGGGCTTGATTCTTCTGAGACATGGTTACAGTTCCTGTGAAAGACAGGAGAGTTCATTCACATCTTCAAAGACACAATTTCTTATTAATTAAATATAGATAAACAACACATACACAGACATATATGTTTAGCAGTGCTTTCTTCCCAGCTGTAGGCTCTGAAGTGGAGGCAGTTGGGAAAATTGCTGAGCTGGAAGATTTTTTTTTTAACTCCACAACTAGTGGACAAGGCATCCCTCTGACCCTTTAAGTCTTGTTGTATTTTCATTAAATAAAGATTTCAGCATTCACTGCAGCCTCTTAAAGCTTTGTCTACATAGCAGAGCTGCAGTTGTGAAATGAAAACTTGAATCAAATAGAATCAATGTTTGATTCCCATGCATCTGAAGAGCTGTAGCTATCTGTGCTGTTCAAGTTCTCAGGACTTCTTTATAAAACTGAGTTTTAGAAATCTGACTATGTAATTTTCCTTTTTTGCCAAGTATGCTTTTTTTCCCTTGGCTAAGAAGTAACATGGACTTGGATTTAAAAGTTACAGATTGTGTAACATGATTCAATTTCTAACATCTTCTCAAAACCTTATGGAGATTATGCAGCTGTGACAAGCCCAAAATCAAAATGTCAAGTTAACCTGAGTCTGGGGTATGCTTAAAATACTTTATATCTGGTATGGTGATTCAGCACTACCTTGGATTGTTTCCCTGACAGTCTAGATAAGTGTTTTTTCAGCCTTTCCAATTTGAATACCTTTTGAAAAATAACCAGTGGAAGTGCAGGCTTCTTCAGAAACATGTAGACTGCTAGATGGTGGAAGAACTAATTTTGGTTAATTTTGTTAGGTTTAGAAGAGGCCACTGGTAGAAAATCACTTATTTCAACTGCAAATTTGAATCAGAGCAGCCTGTGGTCAAAGTACTGCCTGATGTAAATCTGGTCAGTTCACACTAGGCTAATTCAGGTAGAGTTGCTCAGGACTGACTCTGTGCTGATGACATTGCCTGTGCAAAAATGCTCCTTTGGAGGCACCACAGTCTTACACTGTGGTAACTCTTCTTCATGATGGAAATGCCTTTAGTGCCATAAAGCATTGGATTTGTTTGGTGATTTTTTTACTCTGTTTAGCTTTGAGGAACCATCGCAGCTCTGAGGCATTGAGGTGGTGATTTTCCTTGTGTTCGTCAGTAGCAGTGCTCAGTAACAGTCACTTAAACCTGAGCAAGTTTCCTGAGGGTATAGGATTTACACATGTATTTTGGGAAGTGGTTTTAGCATCACAGTTGTAAAAATACTATGCAAAGTTTAATTTTTCCCCTAAAAGCATTCTAATGTAGTTGCTGATATGGGAGGAAAAAAAACTCATCTTGATTTTAATGTTTTGTTATAAAATATTTATTTAAATGCCTTTTCATAGGGTGTAATTTCTGAATTCTTAAGACTGCTGAGGAGAAATTTAAATCTGTTTTAAGGAATATTTACATTAAAGCCAAAACATCCTGAAAGGACAAAACACAAATCCGAAAACCTCTGCTGTAGTCCTCTCCCCTGGACACATGAACCTCTCCTCTTTATATAGACCATAATGACTTGTTTTGTTGCTCTTTGCAGGTGCTCCTGACCCAACAGCTGGTGCTAGCATAGATGATGAAAACTGCTGGCATTTGGATGAGGAACAGGTTCAAGAACAGGTTAAACTTTTCCTCTCCCAGGGCGGATACCATGGATCAGGGAAGCAGCTCAATTTGCTTTTTGCAAAGGTGTGTTCAATACTCTAAACTTTCCCTTTTTTCTTTCCCCCATTCCCCAAGCCAGTCTGTACTTGTTCACATCTTACTCCAAGTCCTGTTGTTCAAAACCTAGACTAAGCCTTGGGAACATGATAGCAACTCATTACTGAGTTGTGCAGCAATGGACTGTAAACTGATGTGTCTTAAGATCAGTTTAAGGATATGAACTAATATTTGAACTATCTGCAGTTTGCTGTTCTGTTCCTTCCCACCCCTAAAATGTTGGAGAAACCTGTAGAAATTAGTCTTTCAGCAGTTTGCATAATAGAACTTTGGGTTACTTGTGGTGGAAGTGTCTGGAAAAAAAAAAATTGCAATGGGATACTGAAACCAAAAATCATTAAAATTGGAAAGGTAGACTGATCTTTTCCACCCCTCCACTTAAAAATTTCACATCACATATATGTTACACTTCTTATTTAAAGGAGGTGGGATATTTAACACTGTAGCATGTCACCTGTGCTATGATTTCTTTGTTTTTTTCAAGTTTGTATTAAAAGACTCGTTTCCTAGGTGCGAGAGATGCTAAAGATGAGAGATTCAAATGGAGCTCGCATGTTGACGTTGATAACAGAACAGTTCATGGCTGACCCTCGTCTGTCGCTTTGGAGACAACAAGGAACTACAATGACTGACAAGTATAGGCAGCTCTGGGATGAACTGGGTAAGTGCACAGACTTCAAAATCATATAGGTGTTCATATGTATAATGAAGAAAACAGTTACATATTTGGGGTGGAAACTTTTATTGTGGTACTAGGTAAATCAGGTTAGAGACTTCTGCAGTTTCTTGTTAAGGTTGGGTGTAATTGAGTTTTTCATCTACAGTGTGAGACAATTGCAGTTGGAGGAGAGGAAGCATTGTATGAAGTAAGTACAATTGCAACAGGTTGTAAGTACCTGAGGATCTAAAAAGAATAAAACAAAAAGCAGAAACATAGCTACAGAACTGAGGATAAGTAGATAAACCACTAGTGCTAAACTGGAGAGGTTAAGGAGGAAATCGATTCACAGCTAGAGAGAAATAGAAGACAAAAAAATGATTCATTGAGAGTGTGAGAAGATAGCAACAAAGGAAAGTAGAAGTCCATTACTGAGCAGGAAAGGAGATCAAATAACAGGGCTAAAGCAATTAACATTGCCTTACAGGAAAGGTCAGTTATTACTAGATACATGACTTAGTTGTACAACGGAGAGAGAAACAAAGGCTGAAATGGGAAAGGAAGATCTAAACTGGGTATGGTCTGACGACACTTGCTCTAAAGTGTTCCAGAAAACTCGCCAATACATTTTTGAACTACTGCTTCAGAAGTCCTCAATCTATAGGAATATGTGATAGGGAGGGGAAATTCAAAACAACTTGAATGTAAATGTCACCAATATTTTAAAGGTGGGTAGGTGAGTGGAAAGAATATTAAGTAACCACAAGCATCGCTTTCCTAGGTATAAGTTACTGGAGCAAACTACTACCCTATTGGTGTGTTAAGTGTGTAGAAGATAAAAGCAGAAAAAAACCCAACTTGAATTATTTAAAATACAGTGGAAAATCTAATTTATTTCCCTAAAAGGTAATTCCCTGAGTGTGAGTGAGGGGATTAATGTGTATATTTTAGCTGTAGTAAGGTTTTGGATGCTGTCTTGGAGGCTTTCTCAAAGCAAGCTTAAGACGCACAGCCCAAGTGGAATTGCGTTGTGGTTTATGGAACTTGGAGTAGTTACCTGTGCTGTCACTCCATCTGGAAAGACACTTCAAGTCTAGACTTAAGTCTGCCTTGATGTGTTCTGGTCAATATTGCTATGCCAAATTTATGTGGCATGGGGCATAAAAATCAATATTAAATTACAAACAAACAAACTTAGAGATGATGCCCTGTGGGACACTATGTAAACACCATGGGGAACAGAGCCAAAGACCATAATGCTCTTGATATATTTTCAAGGTCTAAAATCAGGCTGAATTAAATTAAATACAAGCAAGAATAAAATGCTTCACTTAGAAGGGAAGGATCAAAAGCAAAATTCCTGTGTTGTTTTCCACTGTTAAAGGTTAACAATGACCGTGATTGATTGCATGTTGACTGGTAGGACTAAGATGGCATATAACCTGTTTAACATAAATTATGTTCACTCTAAATGAAGCATTGGGCTAATAAAGCACTAGCTCTCTATATAGACTTCTGTGGTAGAAAGCCTTTATATTAGAGCAGGCAAAGCTCTGGCAGAGAGAATGTAGTTATAAGTACTTGTCTTCAAGTGTAACCCTTCTAGTATGTCAATTTTATGATGCCTTGGCTTGTTGGGGAATGGTTTGTAAGGAGGGCACATGCTTAGCCTGGATCTGTACGCAGCAAAATTGTATCCCCCCATACTGAAAACCGGAGGGTCTCATGCTTCATTGCTTATGTGGGTTGAGCTGGTAGGTGGTGGGAGAGGCAGAAATGTGGTTTCCATCTGTTACCTGTAGCAGTCTTACCACATGCTGCCAATAAACATAAAAGGTTTTATTACGTTTTCTTAGCGGCTCCTCTTCTTGTTTCATCAGTTTCATATTAACATCACTTTCTTGACAGCACCTGTCTGAAGGCAGAGTCTCTGCCTGCAGCATTGAATAAGCAGTATTTTAGATTAAAGTGATTAGTTAAATCAGAAGTATAGGTGGCACTCCCAAAAAGCCACAGTGCAACCTCCAGCCTCACTGCTTCCTCAGCTGCTGTATGTGCAATCTGAGGCAGACCCCATTTCTGTCCTGGACTGCTCTGCTGCCTTTAATGGTATCAGTGTTGATCGTGTACCATGGTTTGAATTGCAAACACATTTCAGTTGCTTCAGATGAGCATTGGGCTAAGGGTAGAACTTAACTTGGTTCTTGAACCTCCAGCTTGTGTGTATGTTAAACTGTCCATTTCTTTCCCATACCAGTAGGATTCATTCCACTAGTGCTTGGCAAGTTCCCTCAAAATTGCTGTTAATTGGATGAATCTCTCCAGCTTGACTCCTACTTTGTGTGAAAGTTACAAGTTACTTCCATGTTTTTGCTAAGATTTTGCCTTGAGTGTCACTCAAATTAAGCACATCCCTTTTTCCATGTGGAACATGCATCTCTGGAGAAAAAAAAAGCTGAATGTGCCAAAGTTGAAGGAGATCGTAAGGGAGACCGTAATATAGCAAGCTGCAGAAGAAAGAGCAGGATGGCTCTGGCAATGTGTAATTTGTGCCAGCGGTGGCAGAGAACTCAGGCATTGGATTTAGGGGGGTGATATTGTTATGTCCTAAAATAATTTTGGCTTCCAGTCTTCTCATATTCTGGGATGTCAGAGAGCTAAAATATCAATAAAGGGAGTGAGATAGATCTTTGCATACTTTTTGTATTATCGGTTCAGAGTAATCTGAGTAGCATGTGTTTATGTCTTGAAAGAAAAAGATTTTATGTATTACCTCATTTATTTCACCAGTAGGTAGCAATTTAACATTGTAGTATGTAAATACAGTCTGCTTAATAAAGGCTTGCTTGCTTGCTTGCCTTGGTATCCTGTCTGCCAACTGCTAGGTACGGCCACTTTGTCAGTTCCATTGCTCTTCTCAGTGGTGTCCGGTGACAGGACTAGGGGCAATGGCCATAAACTGGAGCACAGAAGGTTCAACCTGAACACGAGGAAACCCTTCTTTCCTGTGAGGGTGACAGAGCCCTGGAACAGGCTGCCCAGAGAGGTGGTGGAGTCTCCTTCCTTGGAGACTTTCCAAAACCGCCTGGACTTGTTCCTGTGGGATCTACTCTAGGTGATCCTGCTCTGGCAGTGGGGTTGGACTAGGTGATCTCTAGAGGTCCCTTCCAACCCCTTCCACGCTGTGAATCTGTGAATCTTCGCATAGTTATTTAAGTGTGCTTAAAAACCTTCAGCTTTTCTCCTTGGCTGGATCACTTGAGCCTTTCATTATAACTTAACTGATGTTTCCTGCCTGGCATTGCCAAGGATACTGGAAGGACATGCTTGGCTCTGCTCAGAGCTGCTGCT